CCTTATTCTATTCTACACCATATTCCTTATTCTACAAATCTGCCCTCCCACGCACACACACTGCAGTTTAAAGTAATTTAGGCCAGCAACAGATTTACTGATTTACACCTGCTGTTTATAAGAAATAAAGGGAATTTCCCCATAGTTCAAGAGAAATTTCACATTTCATATTCAGATATGAATTCACAGTATGTAGATTCTGCAGGGAAGGGAAATGGCATTACCACACCTTGATTTAGTGTGGTGGCTGTCATGTGGGTCTTCCAAACATATTGAGAAAAAAGTGTACCCTATGCCAAAGTACATCAGAAACGTGACTTGTGACTTGGCCACGGAGGTGGGGTTCCTTCACTTGCTGCTTTTCTCCAGAGTGGACAGTAGAGGCCGCTGTTTTGTAATTCTTCCCGGGTAGCTTTGGGCCAGCGAGGACACAGACCTTCCTTCATCTTTATCATCATGCCATCATTTCCCGCTCTCCCTGCTGGCTTGGACGCTTTCAGACTGGGCACAGTAGCCTATTTATTCCTTTGATCTTGGCAGCTATCGAGCAACCTGTCAGCGTTGCCACAGGGCTGATTTTTTCTTCTTCTTTTTAACTGATCTGAATAAGGTTCCTTGTTAGTGGTTTCCAGGATGCTGGCGATTTGCTCTTTTAAATATGTGGGTACCAAAGAAACTGATGCAGGCAGGTAGTTTCAGCAAACATATTGCTGGACTGTACCACTTCAGACTGCAAGGAAGAAGACTCACGTGACCAAATGCTTTTCAGCATAATAAGCAAACAGATAATACACAGTGAAAACTAGATATCAGTGAAAAAAGAACTAGGGAGCAATATTAGAAGTGATACATGTTATTTTCACAGTGGGGATACTATTATTGCAGCTGAAGCATGTGCTGCAGCTGATGAAGTAGGCTCTAATCCACAAAAGAGTTTGCTGTAAGAAAACTGTTCAGTCTTTAAGGTTTCAACAGGCTATGGGATTTGCTGCGATGCCTTGATGCAGCTATCCCCCTGGAAATGGTTACCAAGAATGGTTCCTCTTCGAATAAATTTCACAGACCCTAGTTATGATATTTAAAGTTCAACCCTGTGCACATCTAGGAAGTGATTTCCAGGGTATTCAAAAGGATTTATTCTTGGGTAAGTATATATAGGATTGCAGTCATAAAGTGATTTGCTATGAACCATGAGATTCAGTTTTCATCCCCAACAGTATCCTCTAGAAAAGTCCATTAGGGATATTAAAGTCTCAGTGTTTTGGTGGGAAGCTGCTCTAAACATGGCCAGTGGTGCCACTGAGACTGGAACTTGGGTTAAAAATCCAGGATCCCACAGCCCAGGATATTCCCAAATGACCACCCCAAGATCGGCAGATGATGGAGGCAATGGCAAACAGGCTGGGTGTTAATTTGGGCCCAGTGGAGTTCATCCTGGGTACCAAAATGTCCTTTCTTCTTGTTTCATTTTTAAAAACATTTTTAGTTAGGTTGCAGCCAGCTGGGCTTGTATGTGGATATAGACCAAGGATGTGGCCCTCCAGATTTTGAAAAGCTGCTTCCATCAGCCCCTGTATAGCCAATGGTGAGGGGTGATGGATCTTGAAGTATCTGGAGGTCACTCATCCCACATACCTGTTACAGCTTCTCATTTTGCATATTATTGCAATATGCATATTATTGCCTTTGACAACAAAACAGTGCTTACTTCCAAGGGAACATTTTTGGCATCAGGGCAACAGAAGTGAGCACAGCTTTATTTCTTTAGTAATGATGGTGCTGTGAAAGGCTAAGTGAGTTCAGAACATGAAAATCGGCGGGAGAGGCCCTTCTCCGGGAGCCCTCCATGGAAGAAGTTAGGAGGGTGGTTACTCGGAGGAGGGCTTTCTCAGCGGTGGCGCCTAAGTTATGGAATGCGCTCCCCAGAGAGGTCCGCCTGGCGCCGTCGTTATTTGTTTTTCGGCGCCAGGCGAAGACCTTTTTATTTAAGCAGTATTTTAAATGTTAATATTATTGAATTTTATTTGGCCAGGGCGGCTTGTTTTATAGTGTATATTTGTATTTTATTGTATATATTTTAAAATGTTATTTTAAATTTTTTGTTGTAAGCCGCCCCGAGGCTTCGGCGAATGGGGCGGCATAAAAATGTTTTAATAAATAAATAAATAAATAAATAAATAAAATGTGCACATGCTCTTTTTTAAAAGGTGTACAAATCTGGGTTGATCCTCCTCCAACAACCTTCAATTCCAGGTCTGAACATCACAGACAGTGACCCAGTGACAGCCCAACACCAGGTTTAACATGGTAGGAGCAGGCAGGTGGCCATGAACCAGCACAGTCCCACTGCATTCACAACAACCCATGGTTTAACACACTTCGGGTTACTGTGGCATGCAAACCAGGTCACTGGATTAGCCAATGAAACCATAGTACAGGTGAGATGAATACAGATTTTTGAGCTCTTTGATTCTTTGTCTACTGGTCCTATTTGGATCAATTGTCAACAAAAACAGTCCATGTCCACTGCTGTTTCAGCAACCTGTTCCAAGATTATTGAAACCATGTAAGGTATGCTCCTTTTTTAGTTCATGCAGCCCTTGGAATGCCTAAATGGAGCTATATCTCAGTTAAGATTTGTTTCCAGGCTATCCACCATTAGTAAATTAATTTAACACAAAATAAATATTTTGTTAACATTCATTCCCTTGCTGAATATTAGGTTCTGTTAATGCACAGATTGGGTTGGGTCTTAGTTTAAGTTCTGTTGTTTTCAGTGGGTCTTCTGTTATGTATGCCTAGAATTAGATTGAGTTTCTGATTCTTAACTGAAGGTGTTTCCAATGTCCAAGCAATTTATATGGGGAAAGAATGGGAACGTGGAAAATACTCATTTCAATCTGTGCTCAGGAACATATCGTCTGGTGGAGGGGCGGGCAGGCAGTCTGGAAAAGAGTAAGAACAGCGGCACAGGGGAAAAAAGGCCTATTTATGTTAGTGCTTATATTTCCACTGGAAATCAGAGTGACATTAAAGGTAAAAGCATTTCCTAAACAAGAGTCAGTTGCCAGTTCTGCTCACTCGTCTGGCTTCTCTCAAATAGAGCTATTTGTCCCTAGTTTCAGTTGCACATGCCGGCTAATGTCTAGAAGAGCTGGAGCCATGGGGCATGGCTGGCTTTTCCTGAGAGGCTGCGATTTCAAGGCCCCATTGAGAACACCCACAGGATCAGCTCGCAATTGGAAGAGCGTCACGCTCAAGCATTCTCTAAATTTGACATTCTCAGGAATCTAACATAAATAGCATGTGAATCCCACTGGATATATTTGTTACTTTGCAATGGATATACTGATGTACTCCATTGTCTGAGGCCCTCTTCCATATGCCCTTCTGAACAAGGCAGAGTGAATTGCTATTTTTCAGAGGGCCTCTTTCATGTTGACACCCCATGTGTGGAATCCTCTCCTCAGAGAGGCTTGGCTTGCGCCTCTGTTGTCATCTTTTCAGAGGCTTGCAAAGCCCTTTTTGCTCTTCCATGTATTTTAAAAATTGTGTTATAGTGCTTTTGAATTGTTGCATTTTTATTTCACTGCTGGTTTTATTTGTATGTACTGTTTTTATTCCTCAGTTCTGTCTTTATCTTGCACTTCTTACGTGCTGTTCTAATTATTCTTTTATTGCTTGATTTTAAGTTTTGAATGTATTGTACACCACCCAGACACCTTATTTGGCAGTTTGCAGGTACAGGTGACAGTATCAACAAAAGAGTGTTTTGCATCATGCCCAGAGAATCTCCAATACTGTTGGAGAATGTGAAGAGTTCAGAGAGCTTTTTTACATTGCCTGGTTAGCATGCACAGCCTTAATTTCCACACCCACTCAGTGAATATGCACACGGGATGCTGTTTTAATCCTGGGGTCCAACCAAGTCATCTTATATAAGGTGGCTGGGAAGAAATGAAACCATGTGGGTCAAAGTTTACTGAATACATTGATGAAATATGGTTGCAGAATACAAACAAGTGGAAGAAACCTTACCATTTTCTTATCTGTGCCTGCCCTGGTTCCCTGAATAGGTCAGAGAATGTTCAGTGGACCTCCAAAGATACCTGGAGAAGTGACACATCAATTCCTCTCCTCAAACTGAGAATGAAAGATAACACCCCTTTCTAGGGATCCTGTAAAGTCCCCCTCTCTCTGTTTCATATGCTTTCCATACACACAGGCTCCAATGTCTCTTTTCTGGGAGGTGAGGGTGGGGGAGAAGCTGCTTTAGCAAGGCAAACACTTTTTCTCACAGCAAAAGCAGCCCTTATGTACAAGAATATCTGGGGAAGGCAACTCCAAGGCAATGGTCTCTGGTGTTCTTCCTGTTGACAGCCATGGGGCTTTGGCATGGCCTCAAGAAACTATTGGCTTTTGGAGACTGGGAACATTCACTGCACTACCTGCTGAACCTCAATAACCGTCTCACCCTTCTTTTGGTAGAGCCCATCCAATACAGATGGCTGATGTAAACACTACCTGTCATTATCCATCTGCATCTGTTTTTTAACATCTATGTGTATTGATGAGGTAATGCGCACATTCCCATACGTATTTATGTATCCTTTACCCTACTTTTTCTTCATGCAGCTCAAGGATTGCACTTAGGGTTGCCAGGAAATCTGTCAGGCTTTCTCCAGATGCAGATCTGCTTAGCTTCAGCAAGATTGCTACATGGTGTGCCTCCAAGCCATGTTTCCATGTGGACCAGTCCAGTCACATTCTCTTCATGTGAATGTTGTCAGTCACCAGGGGCTTTATATATAGATTTTCACATCTACTCATACTGGCCACCACATGCACGCACTTTTATTAATACACATGCACATAGATGGCTATTAAAGCACCGGTTTGACATCCTTTACTTTTTCTGGCTTACCTACAGAGTGCCTCATGTGAGTGGTCTTCTCACATCAGCCATGTAGCATCAGAAGGGAGAACTGGAAGTTACAGAATGGACATTCACTGCTGCTAAAGCCAACCTGTTGTCTAAACTTCTGCATTCTGGATACAGATTTATTTCTTCATGAAGGCACTGCTAGAAATGAATGTTTAAGCCCCTGATCATCAACCTGTTCTGTGAGGGGCTATTTTAAGGAAAAGATGAAAATGAAGGAGCCCTTCTCACTTTCATTCTTACATCTTGGAGGCTATTCCCAGGCTCTGGAAATCTTCTCTAATCTCTTTCCACCAGCTGGAAAAGACATTGCCATTCAGGTAAGTCTTTTGGCATATTAACTAGTTTTCCTGAAAGGGTTTTAAATTGGTTGGACAATGTTCATTTTTAATGCTGTGTTTTTAATTTGTATATTTATTTGTATGTTGTAAATGAGGAATATTTATTTAGAGCATACAAATAAACCTTTGAATTATGGCTATAAATTACAAGGTAATTTATAATCTTTTAATTAAGGTTTTGATTTTCATCTCTAGTTAGCCTCTCTGAGCACCATTTTTGGCAGGAAAGTAGGAAATAAATGAAATAATTCTGTGAAGAGTGGATGCGGAGAGACAATGTGGACATTCCCCAGTGTTCTGTTAGGAGGTAACCTTGCTACATCCAACATTTCCTACCAATGTCTCTCCTGCATTTGAGTTTCCAGATAGCTTCCATATAGCCTGAAGTGTCTGATCTTGCCTAATTTTGGAAGCTAAGCAGGGTTGGGTTGAGTTGAAATTGGGATGGGTGACTTGAGGACCCTAAGGGTATGGAATGGGCTTCCATGGGAGGTTGTTGAGGCCCCATCGGTGCGGGTGTTCAAGGATAGGCTGGACATGTGTATGGTGGGCATGTCGTGAGCGGAGCCGGCTGGAGCTGGGGGTCAGACTAGATGGCCCAGGAGACCCCTTCTGACTCGCTCAGTTTCTATGTTCTATGTTTCTATGAGTCCTGCACTGACCAGGCAGTTTAACCCAATTGCCTGTTAGGCCCCTTCCAACTGTATAATTCTATGACAGGAAGCCAGCTGACATGCCAGGACATGGCCCCAGGGTCACCAGCTGCTGATCTCTAATGCAAGTGGTCTTCTGTTTATTTTCATGATTTATACACTGCTTTTCAATTGAATGATTCCCAAGATGACTTCCAAGCAATACATAATAAAACTCTCAAAATGTGCATTTAGAAACACACATGCACATGCAACCCAGCTACCATCTTTATTCCTCCTCTTAGATGGATGGGACAAAAGCCTCAGGTTGGGGAAATCACCCCACAGTGGCAATGAACAGGAAGACCAGTTTCACTCCCTTCTCCTCCCTCCACCCCTATCCCTGGCACTCCACCTTCTCCCGCTTGGCACTTCACTGGGCTATTCTTGCCACACTGTCATTTGACAACATGTTTGTTCTTGCAGCAAATTACTGGCTTGAATGGAAAATCTATTAATAGGGTGGAACGGCATGGGGAAAGGGATGGAGAGCAAACTGGTTGCTATTTCTAGCTAGCATCCAGCTAATTTTGAATGTGGCTCCAAAGGGCAGCTTGTTGGAGAGGATATTAATAGAGCTGAATGAAATCCTCAGCTATTGTTGCATGTGGTAGGAATTACAGCTTTTTGGAGATGCTGAATCCCCTTTTCAAATGTGGGACAGAAAAAGTGTAGTGTATTTTCCATGGAAAGTATTGTCCATTACACCCTCAAAAAAAAAAAAAAAAAAAAAAAGTATCTAAGGCTGGAATCCTTCCCACACTTACCTGGGAATCAGTCCCATTGCTTTTAGTGGGGCTTATGTCTGAGTTATGCTATATATCTGTAAAATCATTCACACACAAAGGATTTCAGTCTTTGTCTTCTACATGGATAGCAGCAAAACATGGACAGTTTCACAAAATGTCTGATAAAATAAGTAAATTACAAATATTTTAAATTACACATTGGAATATTTTATTCCAAACAAATCATGGGGGTTCTCAATTTTCCTTTGGACATAACATAGAAGAACTTGTGTGCTTTAGAATTACTACTACTGGCAAACATGTAATCACCACCAAACAAGTTCCAGGTTGATCCCTAGTATCTCTCATATTATAGAGCTGGGAAAAACGTCTGTGTTAGATCTTGGAATGCCTGCTGAGCTAGATATAAATGGCTTCACACCTCCTGAAAGATGGAAAGGTTCCCTAGAAAGCAGGTGTGCCCCCAGCCCCACTGAAGGATTCTTGTGAAAGAACAAACTTCCTGTCCTTTGCTGTCACCACAGCTAAAGGAGAACCTGATTAGCCAGGGGAAGGGAACAGAGTATGTCCTTTATTGTCCATGCTTTTATAGTTCTCTCTCGTCACTTATGTAGAAGGACCTAAGTCTGTGTCGGGCTTATCTACAGTGACCATATGACAGCTTTACAGGGAACAGTCCTGTGTCTGAAGGGCTTTCAGAGAATAGTCTTCTATTTGAAGGCATCCTCTCTTTGGCCCTGTCCATGGCCATGAAATTGTCCATCGAGAGTTAGCATTTGGGCAATTGACAGACCAGACATCTAGTCATAGATTTCCTCTCTGGGGTGAGGTGCATTGCGTTTTCACTTCCATTATACTATTTTTTTTTTTATTGCACCCCATGCATCTAAATGAGCACATTCAAATAGCATGCAAGTCCGCATCTCCTTTTGGGTGATTCACTCTTAGGCTCAAACTGGAATCCAGGGCCCCAGAAACAGGGCATTAGGAGCAGAGTTGTGAGCTTCGGGTTTGGACCAGAGTGGGTTAATGGAACCAGTAGCGCTGCTGGAGAATTCTTTAATAGCACTGGCAAATATTTGCAAGGCAGACTACAGGCTGAGTAGGAAATAATTAGAAACGGGGAGGCTGAGAGCCTTTTTGGCAAAAGGGCATGCCTTCCTTCCCCTCCCCATAGCTAGGGAGGATGTGACCTAAGTGCTTGGGTGAAGAAAGGCTGCTGTTTGGAGTGCAAGACTGACAGCGACACAGAAAGCTCCGTCTGGGCTCTAAGGAAGTGTTTAGGGAGCTGGAAGTCTCCCAGAGCTCTGATGTGGGTGCAGTGCTTTTGGCGTATCCACTTATATATATTTGTAAACAACTGGAAATATTTCAGCATGCTTGTAAGCCTCCAATGATGGCCTTCCAAAGGAAGCCAGACCGGGTTAAGTGCTGTGCTGTGCTATGCCCCTGGCTACTAGTCCTCATAGATAAATGAGAGGCAGGACGAGGACTTCAGGATGAGAGGAGCATGCCCCTGAATACCAGCAGGAGAGGGCTCATGTCCTGCTTGTCGATTTCCCAGGGGTTATCTGGTTGGCCACTGTGAAAACAAGGCACTGCACTGGGTGGCCTCTATCTGATTCAGCAGAGATGTTATTAGGCTGTTAACATTTCATCACTTGCAGAAGTCAAGGGCATATACCAATCCAGCACATACACAGTACTGTAAATAATTATTTGCTTACCAAATGGAGATTAGAATGCCTCTGGTCATATGCAGAGTGTCACTATTACTGCATCCGGGTCTTGAAGAGTCACAAAAAAAATAAGGAACTAGTAACCCATTGTTGTAAACCACCCAGAGGGTTTTGGCTACGGGGACAGTATAGAAATGAAATAAGGAATAAATATTAATAAATCCTATTTATTTGGGGAAAGCAGTGCCTGTTTATATGCTTGGCACCTGCCCAAATAATTCACTTGTAAAGGAGCAGGTAATTACAAACATACCTTAAATCCCTAGTGTTTTCTTTTTCACAGAAACATTTCCTCTTATGGCTGGCCCGAGTTTCCCACACCTGCATGAAGGGGGCCCGTGAAACAAATTCCCAGTGGAATTCTATACACAACCCATCTCTATAGCAGAGTATCCACTTGCCATGAGGGACTAGGACCAAAAGCAATCTTGAAATACTTTTGTTCTAGGACTAGGCAAACCCTCCAGGTCAAAATCTCTATCTCAGCACATCGGGCCAGTAAGAAAATATTACACCAGTTTAGTTCTTCAATTATTTTTGAGAGAGCTCCTTGCTAGTAATACAGACATCTCTACATAAAGCTAAACAAATAAGCGGGTGTTCACTCTCTTTCCTTCCTTGCTGCCCAAGCACATTCTGTCTCCTGATGTATAACATGACTGTTTTTCTGATCTCTTCTCCCCATGGATTTTTCCCCAGTGCAATTCTACACTGCAATTTAAAGAATTTGCCCCCAATCCTATATGCCTCTTTTATTCAGAACAAACTAAAGCAGCTGTTCCTGGAAGAATATCCCCCTTTTAAAGATAGGATTTTGAAAGGGGAAGTGACAGAGAATTCCTTTATTTGAGTGATACCAAGAAAAAGAAGACAGATAAATGTGAGACTGGAAGGAATCTAGACAAAAGTAGAAGAAACAGCTCTCTTCTTTATAGCTGGAAAGTTGACAGCAGCTGAAGACGTTTTTCCTCTAGTTAGCTGCATATGTGCAATGTTTTTGCTATGTCCTGCCCTGAAGGAACATCTGCACAGAGCGTTTTGGATGGGACAAACTAGCTGTGGTGGAGAATGCTAGCTGGCAAATAACAACACTGACTTTAATTGACTCAGGGCAGTCTGTTTGTGCAAGGATAGGACTCCACATCCAACCACCGAACATTCTGTCCTCATACACTGAAGCAGGTAGAGTGCCGCAGCCTTTACAGTGAGCACAATGTCTTTGCAGGTTGCTCTCCACAATATTTAAATCTTCTGTTTTTTAAATGGGTTACAGTACTCCATTTTACAGCATAAAATGATAGATGTAGGACTCCAATATGGTTACGTTCTGATTTTTCTAAGGGAAACTGAGGTTCAGGGGAGTCAGGAACTGGTTTCATTTATCATTCTCTTGGTTCAACTCCATCCCTCATGAGCACAGATGGAAATGTGGTAAACATGCCGATTGACAGAAAGCATGAGGGGGCGAGATGCTGTGTTGTTGGAAAACTGTTTTTTCTATAATCTAGCAAGTCAAATACCCAGGCTTTTATTTAGAAAGGTCAATGCCTGTCTCACTCTCTCCTAGACTGAAGATGTGTTCGTCAAGTTTCTAAAAAAAATCCTTGCTTGAATAAATATACTTCCACTGAATGACTCCCTTGTGCTCAGGAAGGTCAAGTGATTGGCTTAGCAGAAAACTGGCTCTCTGTTTATCCCCAGGCAAAGTACAGAGTCGGGAGCCAATCTCTGGGACCCCCAAGAACAGTCAATGAATCCCCCCTCCTTCATGAGTCTGTTGGTCTGTTCCTGCCGCGAGA